TTTGATGAAATTGTGGTATGTTTTTTATTTAGTTTCTGAATGCCTTCTTGAAAACTTTCGGTTTACCGAAAAAAGAAGTAAATTGGAAATCTTAAATGAACTAATGGTGAATTGTTTAGCAAAAGTTTGGTGATGGAGTTTCTGGTGGGAACGTTTCATTTCGGTTTTATCGTCCAAAGTCTTCATCTTGGGATCTTTCAATGTTTATTATTTGGCTGTTGGCTGTCTTCTGTGTCGGAGTTGGTGGCTATTGGGCTGGCCATAGGAAGTCGTAAGTTTTTTTAATAGTGTTTTTAACACGTCCGAGTTCTGTAGAATAGACAGCACTTTCTTACCACAAGGTTTTTTCTCCTCCGTGCTACTCATAATTAATGGTTTAGCGAGTTAAACTGTGTATGTCAAAAAAAACTGATTTAGTTGCGAAGAGAAAATGGGGCTAGATTCGCATTTTTCACGAACTGTCGTTCTTAATAGTTCGCAAAAGAAGAACTTAGAGCATGAAGACGAAAAGATGACAACACCAGCAAACTGTTTATTTGTTGTGATAGCAATGGTCATAGTCGTTGGCATACTAATGCTCGGATTTTACTTTCGTTACATAATGGGTAACATAGAGATCTGCATTCTTGTTTTATATATTATTCATCATTTAAGTGCAGGATTTTTTCCAGTTTCTTTTGCGTCTGATAATTTAACTTCTAATGCTGGTTAGGTATTATAGTGTACTAATTTTATCGGCTTTGAAAGGTTTTGCAGTTTATATATTCAATGTGATACTTCCTATCGTCGGCACATTCAGTATGCACCGTTGCTTGTCTTCTGCTTACAGTTTCTTCTGCAAGTGCGGTCACTGTCGTGTAGGTTTCTTTCCGTTTTGCTAGCTTTATTTAATTAGGTGAAATTACTGAATTATTTGAATTGATGTTTTCAAACATAATATTTTTTGTTCAGTGGTACGGGAAGTTTATTTAAATTGTAAGTCATTATCGAATATACAGGGCGGTGCTGCAGATTGGTGAATGCCATTGCTTTTAGATCTGTGTTTCAATGAACGATGTTACTCGTTCGCTTTTTAAACGCGAGCTATTCAAGAACGAATACTGTTCTCGTCGCCCACGAGTTGCTTCAGTCGTTATTTTTGTATTTTCGGCTACATTTTGTACTTCTTGGTTCTTTTTTCGCCGTAGTCCGTATGCATTTATTCTTCTTGACTTTATAAATGTCACTCTCTGCTTGCACGTACTGAAATGGATTCGGTTTCCAAATCTTAAGGTTCGTTTTTTGTAGTTTATTTTTGGGGGCACTTTGCTGAAACAAAATTTGCTTTAAAGAATTTTATTAATTTTTAAGCTCTTTTCTGGGCATATACTTTTCTTAATTATTATTGCTTTATCAGCTTTTACAATTGCAAATACGTCAAATATCAATATATTTGGTGAAAAATCTGTTTTTAGTGGCTAACAGTGCTTTTGTTATGTATGTTTGTGTACGATATGTTTATGGTTTTTGGCACTCCCTATTTCACCAAGAATGGTTGTTCTGTAATGATTGAGGTAAAGTTTTTTTTCTTTTGTGTAAGTTGCTGTTATCAAAATTAGCTTTTAGTTTGTAGTGATTTCGTTTTTGTTGGAAAATTTCTTTTCATTGTTATTTAAAAATGTCGTTCATTTAAAGGTTGCTGCTGGGACAGACTGCGAGAAATCAAGCACTGGTTATCCTGTAGCTCCTATAAGCGGTGATATTCCTGAAAAGGTGTGTTTTGAATTATTATTATGTCAAAGTTTTTATTTCACACAAGATTATTATTTCTTCTTTGCAGTTTCCTATGCTTTTTCAAGTGCCACGACTGAGCGATCCTATGCTTTCTTGTATAGATTTGCAAGTTGAAAAAGAGTATCGACCAGTTATTCTTGGTCTCGGTGATGTAATTGTTCCTGGTCAGTAATTTTCTTTTACAATGTTTTACAATGTTTTTTTTTCGTAAGTTTCAATGATAGCTTAAATTGTTTTTAGTTCCACGGTTTTTCTGCCCAGTTTTGTAAAGTAGCCAATTTTTGCTAATAAAAAGCATCTTTCAGGGTATCTTATAAGTTTTTGCTTCACTGTGGACTTTTCTGCTAAAACTCGATATTTGTATGGCCTTGTGTCTGTTGTAGGTAAAACTTTTT